GAGAGCACAAGCACCAGGCAGGCCGGCACTGCTGCCCAGAGACAAAAGCGGCCAGAACGATGGTCAACCCAGAATCAGAAAACCCAGGCCCAACCCAGAATCCCCGAGGCTGCCAGGATCACCACAGGAAACCCTGCTGGGGAGGGGCTCTGACATGCCAGACTGATGGAGACCTGTGCCAGGAACATTTCACTCCATTACCAGAACACTGGGCCCTGTTACATGAAAAATAACATCAGTGACTCCATTTTGCCTTTCTCCACCATTTTGTGTAGCTAAGTTTCAGCCGCTTATAAGTCACCTGATTTTAGAGAAGTCACAAAATTTCCCCCCCCCAAAAGTCTCCCGACTTAAGAAATGTCACAAAACTACCCCCTCCCTCTGCCAATAATCCCAATAATATTGTTTTTCCTGTTTTTTACTCCCTCCAAATTGTATGTTAACTGTGTAGAAACTAAGGTTCTGGGTCTTTGGCTACTGAGAGCCTTGGACCCAATTTGTTCCTGTAATCACATGCCTTGCCAAATAAATCATTTGCCTGGATGTAACAACTCAATGTCTTTCATTTGAACAGCCCTGGGGACTCAGGAAAAGAAGGGTCCATGCCAAGCCGAACCGGTAGAATTTCCCCTCAGAGAGAGTAGATTAGTAGGGCATAGGCATGAATAGAATCCTAACTGGGGCAATTAGAGTCGGGACATAATTAAAAACTTTTGATGTCTGAAGCCAGGGAGACCACATTCTGCTATCTTGATCTTCCAATCAGCTGAAGCAGAGCTGGGGGAGGAGGCAGATGGCCACTAGGGAACTGTCATGGGGTGATCATTAGAATTTCCTCCTCAACATAAAAGGAAGCAGTATTAGAACAGAGAGGGATAAATGATCGGTGGTGTTGGTTGGGGAGAATTCCTCCAACTTATGCCTAGGCCTTTGTATTTTGGTCTGGTGATTAGGAGACAGGAAACTGGCATCCTGATTACAGGATTGTGGATTTAAAGCTGGAAGGACCTTAGGGAGTACTGAGTCCAACTCCTTCCTTTTTACAGAGGGGAAAACTGAGGCCAAGGAATGTGGAATGACTTTCCTAAAGTCTCATGGGTAGTAAGTGAATAGCTGCAGGATTTAAACCCAGTTCTGACTGAAAGTCCAGCATTCTTTCTGCTATACTACAGAAATTTTAGGTTCCAGCTCTGCTACTAACTAGCTGGGTGAGCTTGGGTAATTTACTTTTCTCATCTGGCCTAAGAGAGTCTCGACAGTAGGAAGGGACCAAAGGGGCCATGGAAGGCAAGTGAACAGGATTCCCACTTGAGGACCTCCTTCTGAGAAGAAGGCACAGCTTCCAGAGGCAGGGCATTCACTCTAATGGCTGTGAAATTTCTCCCTAGGCTGGGCTGGAATGGACTCCTCCTGATTCTGCCTCTGGGGCCAAGAAGACCGAGTCCCATCCCTCTTCTAACATGTCCCTCCTAAATCTTCTCTTCTTCAGGTTCAACAGCCCCATCTCCTTTCCCCCATCCTTGTAAAATGATTTCAATTCTAATATTCTGTATTCTGAACTCAGACACCCCCAGATGCAAACAGCAGTACCACTGGGGCTCACTAGATGGCACCAGAGATGCAGAAGGCGGCAACAGAGCACGGAAACGCAGGAGGAGATGGCCAGGGAGAAGGGAGGGTTTTAAAATCTTTGGACAGTTCCCCATAATACTAGGAAAGCTTCAAAAACCACTCTCTCTGTCTTTCTGTCCTCCCATCCTCTCCCTCTATCCTTCCCTCTCCTCGCTCGTCCCTCGTCTCTCTCTCTCTCCCTCTCTCTCTCCCTCCCTCCCCCTCCTCCCTCTCCTCCCTCCTCTCTTCTCTGTCTATGTATCTCTCCCTCTCTTCCTCCTTCTTCTTTCTATCTCTCTGTCTCTGTCTCTCTCCCTGCCTCTCCTCTCCCTCCCCCTCTTTCTTCTCCTTCCTCCTCTCTCTGTCTCTCTCCCTCCTTCCTCCTCTCTCTCTCTCTCTCTCTCTCTCTCTCTCTCTCTCTCTCTCTCTCTCTCTCTCTCTCTCTCCCTCCTCCCTCCTCTCTGTCTGTCTGTCTCTCCCTCCCTCTCCTCCCTTTTCTTTTCTCTGTCAGTCTGTCTGTCTCTGTATCTCTCCCTCCCTCTTCTTTTCTCTTTCCCTCCTTCCTCCTCTCTCTCTCTCTCTCTCTCTCTCTCTCTCTCTCTCTCTCTCTCTCTCTCTCTCTCTCTCTCTCCCCCCCCCCCTTCTTCCTTGCTCCTTCCTCATCTCTCTCTTCCTTCCATGCCTACCTACAAATTTCTGCATGGTACCTGTTGTTGTTAGCTCATTTTTCAGTTGTATCTGACTCTGTGACCTCAATTGGGGTTTTCTTGGCAGAAATATTAGAGGGGTTTGCCATTTCCTTCTCTAGCTCATTTGGCAGAAGAGGTAACTGAGGCAAACAAGGTTAACTGACCCCAGAGTCACACAGCTAGGAAGAATCTGAGGCCATATTTGAACTCACAAAGATGAATCCTCCTGACTACAGACCTTGTGCTCTATCCACTGTACCACCTCACTGCCCATGGCGCATAGCAGGCTCTTAATAAATATTGATTGGATTGCTCTAGGTTAGGAGAAGGCACTGGTCTTGGAATCAGGAAGACTTGGGTTCAAATTCCACCACAGTCACTAAGCTGTGAGAGTTTAAGCAAGCTGCTTTTCCCATTCTGGGCCTCAGTTTCCCCCACTGTAAAATAGAAGCCCCTGGGCTTGATGACTTCTGAATTTCCTTCTGGAAATAAAGCCATGACCTTGTGATGCTAATTCAATTCAGCAAGCATTTGCCAGGCTCCCATTCTGTGTGGTATGCTGGGCTAGACCATGGAACAAAGCCAAACCAGCCCCTTCCCAAGTCGTCTCCCCTACCCCCACCATTCTGACTGGCCCCCCCATGTCCTACCACACAAAGATCAAACACCAATAGGTCTGCTACATTCCCACAGTCGGCTTCTCCATACTTATTATCTACGTGACTCCGAGCACTTAGCATAGTGCCTGGCACATAGTAGGTGCTTGATAACCATTCACTCACTAACTTAACAGTCCTGAGAACCCTTTCGTCTATGGCACTTTGTGAATCTAGCTGCTCAAGGAAATGGTGGGGGAGGTAACCAGAAGGGTCACTTGCTGGGCTTGGGGGTGGGGATGGTAAATGAACGCCTGAGCCTTCCTGGCAAGGTTTCAGGCCAGAGATATCAGCCTTCTCCCTAGCCCCATCAACATCCCTGCTCATTCCTACCAAACTAATATGGCTAATTACAGGCTTCTGCTCCCAGCATCTTACCTCCCCCATTCATCTAACAGTAACCCCTCCAGTACTGACTGTCAGCATGAACCCCCATCTCTAATATCCACCCCCCCCAACTCCCATCACTCCTGGCAGGCGCTTGGTGCCATTTCTATGGTTGTCTGCATTGGGTCTCAGTTGCTATGACAACATGGTGGCTTCCCCCAAGTGGAAAAGCCTGTTGTCAAGGCCGCTGTTGCCAAAGGCTATAACAGCCAACCTCCACCAAGGAGGCATGTGAAGAGGGGGCGCAAACTCCCAGCAGCAACAGGGAAAGGGGTGCACAGTGAGATATGGATGGGCCCTGATCTTTCCCGCCCCCCTTCCCCTTGCCAACCAGGGGTTCTTGTGAGCCCAACCCAGTCAGATTCTCTTTCTAGCTCCTTTTAAAAAAATAGGTTGAACAGGTCAGAGTCATACACACAAACAGAATAGCACCTAGAGAAATGAGCAAAGGGGCATCTCACAAGGTTCTAAGGGCTCATCCTGAGGCAGGACCCATAGGGCAGAGGTACTGAACCTTCTTTCATATCATGGGCCAGACCTCTTTGGCAGCTGGCTGAACCCCATGGACCCCTTCTCAGAATAAGATTGTTTTTAAAAATTCACACTAGAAGGAACTGGTAAATTTCAGTTACATGTTAGTAAAAATATATACATTTTTTCCCATCCAAGTCGATGGACCCCTGAAATCTGTCCCTGACAATTCCTATCCCTTAAAGACCCACAAACCCTTCTCCCTAAGGCAGAGGACACAGAGGAGACAATCTACCAAAGGTCCCAACCATTCTGGGACCTCAGATCAAGAACTCCTGCATTATAATGAAAGAAGAGGAGACAACCTAAAAATATCCCCCCCCATAGGAGCCCATGGCCAAAAGACATCAAACAGCAAGAGCCATCTACCATGGGGGATGTATCTGTCTAACTCCAGGGAAGGAAAGTTGCCTCCAGCCCCCCCCCCCACACTCTCTACCACCATGTCTGTCTCAGGCTGTCACAGTATCAGTCTGTCTATCATGAGAGAGAGAGACAGAAAGAGAGACAGAGAGAGAGAGAGAGACAGAGAGAGAGAGAGAGAGAGAGAGAGAGAGAGAGAGAGAGAGAGAGAGAGAGAGACAGAGAGAGAGAGACAGAGAGAGAGAGAGACAGAGAGAGAGAGCGAGCCCAGGGGTCCAGAAAGGTCAGCCTAAACTCTGGCATGACATTTCCTCCTGAGCTTTCTCTTCCTTTTCAGAAAGGGGGTGAGAGGGAATGAGAAAAGGGAAGATGGGACAACCAGGAGACAGAAGCTAAGCAGACAGAGTAGAAAAGGAGGCGGAGACAAGGTAGAGGGACAGACCACAGGGAGAAGAGAAGCAGACAGGATAGAAGAGGAGATGTGAAGAGTGAGCAAAAGGAAGAGAGAAAAGCAACCAGGCAGAAGGAATGAGAATTATCTCAAGGAGGATGTCATTCTAGGATCCCATAAATACAAACCAAAGTAAATGCAACAAATGAAAGACTGATAGATAGCTATTAATGGAAGCCAGAACTAAGGGCTCAGAATATATATTTCAGCCATTCTCATCCTTCCCTCAAAACATTTCTGACAATTCTCAGTCTTTAAGAACCACGCAGCCCCCTCTCTCCAAAGCAGAAAAAGAAAGGAGGAGTCACCTACCACAGGTCCCAAACCTTCTGGGGGGGTGGGCAAGATGCCATCCCCACTACCCTGGCTTCGGGCACTGAGCTGAGGGGACATGGTGGGCGACTCATCGATGTACGGCATGGTCTCCGAGCCCTCGGGTGGCACCTTCTGCTCCTCATTCCCCTCCCCGTCGTAGTCGTCGGCCCCGTAGCTGAAGTCTGTGACAAGGAACAAGAAAGGCCACTGAGAATCTTCTACCAGGGCTGCCAGGGAAGGGTAGCGCAGTGGGCGCCGACGCCGGCCCCCTGCCGCCATGGCTCACTCCACACCATTCACCAGCCTCCTTGGCTAAGGCTGGGTCATGAAAGAGACCTCCCGTGTGTCGGACCCAAGAGTCCCAGAAGGCACAGGTCTTGCTGCACACTCAGAGGCTGCTCAGAATCAAGCAGCGGCAACATCGTCAGAAACGCCCGCTTAATGACATGTTAGACATTTATTCCAAGCTGCTGTTTCCTTTGCCTCCTGTCTAATTCCAAGTCCAAAAATTAACAGCAGGAGCAGGAGGCAGGAAGCTCCCAACTCTCTTCTCTGAGTCACCATTCTGCTTTTTATAGGGAACAAGAAGGCGGGGGCAGGCTGAACGATGTCACTTCCTGAACCCCTCCCCTTCTGGTGTCATTTCTAGACTGTGCTCAGTCCCCCCTGGGGGGCCAAGACTAAGACTGGGTGTGAGGGAGAAAGAGAATCATTCCTAACTCAGCCCTCCTAGTTCCCTCAAACCTTTCCCCATGAGAGAGGGTGCTAAGGCTCCAATGCCAGGGGACTACAAGGTGGGGATGAGGGGGTGGTTCTGTGGACAAGCTGGGCCAGTATTTAAATAGTAGGGTCCTCAAAAGCCAGGTCTGGTTCTATAATTTCACCATAAGCTTCTTTTAAAGAAGAAGCAGGAGGAGGGGGAGGAGGGAGACAAGGGAGCCTCTGAGCTGCAATTAACCCCCTCATTGCTGTTGCTAGCACCACTCAGCCTTTTAAACTATATGCCCAGATGCCCTACCCACAAAACAGCAGGGCTAACAGGTGAGAACAGATGGTGGTGGGAGCTGTCCAAGAGCTTAGTGCTGAAAGGGTTAATGGGCTTGTTCCCATGGGGACCCCCAAGGAAAAGGTTTCCTCCTGCAGGGCAGCTAGATCCACTATCTCCTTTATTTATAAAGAGCAAGCCAGCTACCAGCCTCTGGCAACACTAGGAATCACACTGTAATTGCTTTCCTTCCAAATGACTGCTCCTCAGGTAGATATTTAGAACCCTAGGATCATTTAGGAGCATGCTCCCACTTGGATGGCCCCAGCCTCTAAGAATGAAGGCTAGGTCACTTCTGCATGATGTCTATGACCAGGATTCAAACTTAACAAAAGCTTGGCTTCTTTCCTTGGTTACTGGGGCCATGGGTTCTTTTCATGGGGTCAACAACGGTCTCCCAATCTTGGAAATTACCTAGTGACTTGAGTCCATGTCCAGACCAGGAGAGTATCCCTCCTGCCTGCCCCCCAATGGCCTAAGTGGCCAAAAGTCAAGTATCCCATGCCCCATCGAGCAGGTTAACCTGAGTTGTGGAGAGTTTACCACCTCACAGGGAGTTACCTCCTCATACTTAGTATAACATGGAAGATACTACATAGATGTCTTGGCTGCTTCGTAAAGATGTTCAGGACTAAAGTGGCATGGGGAGAGGGTGAGGGAATGAGGACAGGCTATTCAAAGCCATGGAAGGGACTTGATGAGTCCATCACTGACCAAAGGGACCTATCTGAATGAGAGACTCTCCAACAACCTTCATGTCACAGAAGAAGAAACAGGCTGAAGGAGATGAAGCCACCCTATCAAGGTTCCCCAGCTATTAAGTGGACAGTATGGCTGACTCCAAATCCAAGGTTTTTCCCATGGCCTACATTTTTTGAGGTATTTTTCTAGGTGGCCCAAGTCAGCTGGGCTGGGTCAATTTCAGGCAACCATCGAGCCCAGACTTCCTTGATTTGATAACACAGACTCACATGCAGGCACACACATGCTCCCCTCCCACTGCACAAACCCATTCTAACAGACTAAAGATCCCTGCTGACCCCATATTTCACATCTTCCATGGGCTCCTTTCACCACCCATGTAAACTCTTTTGTCTCTGCAGCCCTAGCACTTGGCACAGGTGCCTGGCACTGAGAAGGCTCCTAATAAAAGCTTGCTGATGGCTCAAGCCCAGCCATCACCACTCACTGACATCTCTGAATACTTGTGCAGAGGCTCAGAGATACCTCCAGGCTGTTCTCCAGCAGCTGCACCTGCTTCCAGACCTCCTATCTTCTCCCCCCACCTCAGCCCTGAACATCACCATTAAGTTGTCAAGGCATCTGTGTTCTTCCTGGCTTCTTTTCATGCTATTACCAATTATTACTGAGGCCTCGGACTGGAATGTGTGGGAGGGAGGCAGGCCTGAGCAGTGCATGCAACTTAAAGGTTCTGTGCATGAAGCCACCACAGGGACCACAAGGTCACCGTCCTCTACAAGGCAGACAGCCGTGTGTCTTGTGGCCTGCAGAGTTACTTGGAAATCTTTCACTTTTTTTCTAGGGAAGGCAAAGGGAGACAGCAATGGCCTGAATCACTAGACGCTGAGTTGTGAGATCACACAGTCTTGATGGGAAATAAGGAAGTTACCCCTAAGCGACTACCTCTTCTTCCCTGGCTGGTTCAAAGACTGTCTACCAGATGGAGTCCAGAATCCAACTCAGGCTCCCTTCACAGTTCATCTCAAGTACCATCTCCTTCCTGCAGAAGGCCTGCCCTGATCCCTCCAAATGTTAATCCATATCCCCAAAATTACCTTTGCTTTTATTTCATCCACACTTACACACACATGTGTTGTCTCCCTTTATAGAATGTAATCTCCTGGAGGGTAGAGCCTATTTTTGTCTTTGTTTTCCCAGGACCTAATGTAGTACCTGGAACACAGCAGGTACTTAACATATGCTTGCTTATGGACTGCCTGGTAGGCAGCACTGCACCACAGTGCTGGACTTGGAGACTGAGAACCCAGGCACAGATCCTACCCACTACCTGTGTGACCTTGGGACAAATCACTTCAGCTTTCCTGGCTTCAGCCTCATCTGGAAAATGTGCCGGTTGAACTTCACGATCTCCACAGTAGCTTCTGGCCCTACTGACAGAGCCCATCTGAGAGTGCCTGAGGGAGGGGGATGCCAAGCAGGGCCTCCCTGCCCCTTCTCTAGACTTCATAAGCAACCTTCCTGCCAATTTTCTCCTCCTAACAATGACCTCTCCATCCCCATCCCTACCAGAGGGAACCTAGAATCCCCTTCTCCACTTCTCAATGGTGGTGGGCCAGTGTTTTCCAGGCTCCCTGCCATTCTGTACCCTTTAGGACTCTAGACTCTGAGATCCACTCTGTAGCTGAACCCTACAAGTGCTATCTCCCCTGAAAAGAAACATGAGCTCCCTGAGAGCAGGGGCTGCCCGCTTTTCTGTTTGTATCTCACATACAATGGCACACAACAAAATGCTTCTCCATCCATTTTGGTTCATAAGCCTATGATTCTATGATTGACTATGCTAACACTACAGGACGCGCTGAAGACCATTTGAAACGAGGAGCCCATACTCAAGTCCCAGGGAGCTCTCAGGTTTCTGAAGAGTAGGTGGGCTCAACAGGCCAAGACTGAGCTCCCCACAAGTAAGCCAAGGTCTCTTGCTCCCTATGCCCAGTGGACACTTCCAAGAGCAGAGACAGACTATGTAACAGGAAAGATGGCAGATCTCACTCCCCCTCCTCACTGAGCAGCCAGGGTGCCACTGCTCTCCCCAGCCAAGGGCCTCTGCTTCCCTAACACTTTCCATGTGATGAACAGGAAGCCTGATTAAACTTGGCCTTCTCAGGGCACACATGCAGCAGTATTTTCTCACCACTCCCCCTCTGCCCAAGCTCCTGTTACAGGGAAGATGGAGACAGGAATAAAGCAGAAGGCACAGGCGTAAACTAGACTCTATCGGACCTTGGCTCTTTCTAGCAGAGCCCAGGGGAAAGACCTGGAAAGGAAGAAGCTCAGAGTAATTATAGCTAAGCCAGGAAAGATAGAGGAAAGCCCAGTCACGGGAAAGTCCTCACTCATCATTCACTCATTCATTCATCAAACATTTATTTAAATGTCTGAGGGAAACAGGATTCTTGGTCATTTCCTAGTCACAAAGTCAGAAGGCAGTTTCACAAGGCCAGTGATGGATACTCTAACTGGATGAAGTCAAAACACCCAGGGAGGATAGAGCACCGGCCCTGAAGTCAGGAGGACTTGAGTTCAAATCCGGCCTCAGACCAAACACTTGACACTTACCAGCTGTGTGACCCTGGGCAAGTCACTTAACCCCAATCACCTTAAAAAAAATACCTGGGGAAAAATGAAGGCTTCCTCATAGATCTTCACGGGGCAACAATGGAAGCACCATATTGGCCTTTTTGTTCACCCATCAGGGAGACTCAAGGATAGAAGGCGTCTCCCTGGGCTGAGGCTGAATGGTGGCTAGGATGCACTCACATACTCCTTTCTTCACCTCTGCCTACAAGAACCCTTGTTTTCTATCAAAGCTCAGTTCAGGCGCAGAGTAAACATGACAGATAAAGCAGCAACTATGGAACCAACCCATTAAAAGTTCAAATCCTGCCTGACACTATTCTACCTCGGTGACCTTGGGCAAGTCCCTTTACATCTCTGTGCCTCAGTTTCCTCCTCTGTAAAGCAAGAACAGTGGACTAGCCAGCCTCTGAGGCCAGAGCTCTGGTCCCCAGCCCTATTCCCCTTCCTGACCCCCGCCCCTCTTCTTCCAGTTGCTGTGTTCTTGCCCTCCTCAAAATATCTCACAGTTACTGATCTGGGTACATGCTCCATCCCCCAGCAGAAGGGGAGCTTTCTGAAGGCAGAGACTTTTTATCCCCAGTTTAGCACAGGCCCTCCTATGTGGTGAGCACTTTAGAAAGGCGTGCTGAGAACCAGGAAAACAACATACACAAAAATTACAGAAATAGAAAGAGAAAGAACAACAGAATGAACACGAAGGCTGTAGAATTCTAACGACCAAGTTTGGTTCAGAGAATTTGCATGCCCCTGGACCCTGTCCTTTCTCTCACTGTACAGGCAGAGGAGAAGGGGTGTTCT